TTTTTTTTTTTTTTTTTTTTGAGTTGGTGTCTCACTCTTTTGCCCAGGCTGGAGTACAGTGGCACAATCTCTGCTTACTGCAACCTCTGCCTCTCGGGTTCAGGCGATTCTTGTGTCTCAGCCTCCTGAGTAGCTGAGACCACAGGTGGGGGCCGCTACACTTGGCTAATTTTTGTATTTTTAATACAGACAGGGTTTCAGCATATTGGCCAGGCTGGTCTCGAACTCTTGACCTCAGGTGATCCACCTGCCTCAGCCTCCCAAAGTTCTGGGATTACTTGGTTGAGCCACTGGTTGCAATGTGCCCCACCATAGGTTGATACTTGTTGCTGAGGATTGACTCACTAAGGAAACTATTCAGCCACATTGTTGTTCTTTTCATTTAATAAGATACATTTTAGTCTTGGCTTCACCTTCTTGTGTCATCAGTTGTGGATTAGCACCTAATTTGATAGAGAGAATGACTTTAAATGTATCCAACCTTTAAACTAGTTGGGCTCTAGATTTTTTGAGAAGAAGGCATTTCCCCAGCTAAGGATAAGGGATGTGGTTAAAAAAGAACAAAATCACTGACTCTGTTGTGATCTTACTTTAGTCTATAGTCAGGGGGTTAGGGTAGGTGGTGACTCTGGTACCCAGTGAATTTTGGATTTTAGCACTGATCATATGATTTCTTACCTGGAATTGTTGATTCCTTTTAAATTACTGCATTATGGGCCAGCCTTATTTGGTCTGAAAATTGGTTACTTTAATCTGTATTACCACTAACAGTATATCGAGTACTCTGGTTTACCCTTTTTGACCATCAGTAATAAAGGCATATTAGCGATTGGTCCTTGCCAGTCAGTAATGTAGAACTTATTGATACCCTCTTAGGTCTTTACTTGCATTTCATTAGTTCTGCTTGAGTTTGAAAATGTTTTCTGTTTTTTAATCTCTGCTTCTTACTAAGCCTCATGACCTTGAATGAGATATTTAATTTTAATTCTCTGTGCTTCACTTTCCCAATCTTTTTTTGAGACAGAGTGTCGCCGTATTGCCCAGCCCAGAGTGCAGTGGTTCAATCTTGGCTCACTGCAATCTCCACCTCCTGGGTTCAAGCAATTCTGCCTCAGCCTCCTGAGGAGCTGAGACTATAGGCACGTTCCACCACGCCTGGCTAATATTTGTATTTTTAGTGGAGATGGGTTTTCACCATGTTGGCCAAGCTGGTCTTAAACTCCTGACCTCACATGATTCAACTGCCTCGTCTTTCCCAATCTTGAATGGGAATAGGATGATGATACTACCTACCAGGTAGTAAGGATTAAATAATGTAATATCCATAAAGGGGTATCTGGCACATAGTAAGTGCTAAGTAGATGCTGGCTGAATTATTATTATTTTTGCAGTGAATCAGAAATCCTGCACCATGAGAAGCAGTACGAGCCATTCTACTCATCTTTTGTTGCACTTTCCACACACTATATCACAACAGTTTGCAGTCTCAGTAAGTATTCCGCTCTTGTCACTCCCTTCCGAGGGCTTGTGAATAGGGGGATTGTTTATCCTCTCAATAGAGTATCTGAAAAGTTGTTAATGAAATCTAGGTTTTAGCACTCCTAAGCCGGTCACCCAAAAGTGGAGACAACTGTTAGCCAGGATGAGGCTCCAGAGATTCCCTTATAACCAAGTAGAATTTTAAAACTGCTTGCCTTGGACACCTGCTTTATAACTATTAAGCCAGCTTCCTTTTCCTTCTTAATCCAAAGCATTTTATTGATTTCTCATGTAATTACTGGTGTGTTAATTCTTCCTGGGGGGAAGGGGTGGTGGTTACTGACCTCTGGAGTTAGCAACCACTAACCAAGGCTCTATTCCTTGTTTGATTTTGGTGAGGATATGAATTCTCCTTTGTGTTCTCTGGTATATGAAGGGATTTCAACTTGAGATCTCCATTTCCTTCATTTTTTTTTTACCCCCAAAATGGCTAAGCCCTACTGTACATTTCTGAATTTTTATATTTTCTAAAAATCCTAATTCAAATAGTTCTGAAGAATTCCAATTGTTTTAATTTTGTTTTTTTAGAGACAGGGTCTTGCTCTGTCACCCAGGCTGGATTACAGTGGCGTGATTATAGCTCACTGCAGCCTTGAACTCCTGGGCTCTAGTGATTCTCCTGCCTCAGCCTCCTTAGTCCTTGCTGGGACTGCAGGTGCAAGCCACCATGTCCAATTAATATATTAATTTTTTTGTAGAGACAGAGTCTCCCTCTGTTGCCTAGGCCAGTCTGGAACTTCTGGGCTCAAGCAATCTTCTTACTTTGGCCACCCAAAGTGCTGGGATTACAGGCAGGAGCCACCACAAACTGTTTATTGGAATAGTTTACTAAGCAAGTAAACTGAAAGGGAACTGTAGAGTTGCTGAGTAATCCTTTAGTGTCTATCCAATACTGTTTATTACAGGCACTGGATACTGGTGGAAGAATCAAGTTTAGCTTGGAGAAACTTTATATAAGGAAGCCATTTTATTGTTTTAAATTATACCGAAAGATTTTATTCATTTATTTATTTATTTTGAGATCGGGTTATGAGACTACCTTTTTGTATTTTTGGTAGAGATGGGGTTTTGCTATGTTGGCCCAAGCTGGTCTCAAACTCCTGGGCTCAAGTGATCCACCTGCCTCAGCCTCCCGAAGTGCTGGGATTACAAGTGTGAGCCTCTATGCCTGACCAGGACTTCATTTTAGAATCCATAGAAAGGAGTGGTAGTATTGTTTAGTGCAAGTTTGTCCAACTCACTCCTGAGGGCCGCAGGTGGCCCAGGATGGCTTTCAATTTGGCCCAACACGAATTCATAAACTTTCCTAAAACATTATGAGCATTATGAGATTTTTTTTTGCCTTTTATTTATTTTTTTTTTTTTAAAGAGCTCATCAGCTATCATTACTTTTAGTGTATTTTATGTGTGGCCCAAGACAATTCTTCCATTCCAGTGTAGCCCAGGGAAGCCAAAAGATTTCACATTGCTGGTTTAGTGGTTAAGAGCATAAAGTCTAGAGGCTGACTGCCTGGATTTAAATCTAGCTATGTGACTTTGGTCAGGTCATTTAGTTAGCTGATCTGTTACAAATGAGCAGGGGATAATACGAATATTTGTTCATAGAATTGGTTTAAGAATTAAATGAGTTAATACATTTGAAGGGCTTGGCACTGGTGTGATGTAAGTATTTCCTATTAAAATTATCCTAATTTTTAGTAAATATGAGATAAACTGATCTGATAGTTATTGATGTCAAAATACCTTTGTTTGCCCCTTGGGTTTTTGGCTCCGAATAATTGTTTTGATATTGGGAATGTTGGATATAGAGCTCAATACTTATTTTGCTTGATTTAATGACCAAGGCTGAGCAGTCTGAAATTGAGTAATGTTTATTACTTTCTCAGTTCCCCGGAACCAACTCCAGTCAGTGGCAGCAGCCTGTAAAGTTCTAATTGAGTTTTCTCTCCTGCGTCTGGAGAATCCAGATGAGGCTTGCGCTGTGTCCCAGGTAAGAGTGCTGGGCCCATTTCTTGCCCTTATTCTGAAGCACTATTGTGATTGACTAGTGGAATAGAGCAGAGGTCAGTGAACTTTTTCTGTAGTAAGCCAGATAGGAAATCATTTGCAGGCCATATGTTATCTATTGCAGCTAGTTAACTGCCTTTTTAGTGTGAAAGCAACTCGAGATTAATATGTAAATGATGAACGTGGCTGTGTTCCAGTAAACTTTATTTACAAAAACAGGCAGTGGGTGAATTGGAACTGTAGTTTGCCAACCTCTGGTACATGGGGTTACAGAGTCTTCTCAAGGATTGCACATTACATACCTACAGGGGCCAGGTAGGTAACAGAAAATGAGCAAAGCATGCTAGTTGAGAAGATTGCAGCCCCAACTAAAGGGGCCAACCTCTTTGGCTGTAGCTCATTACTGCCCTGCAGGAATGGAGGTGCAAGGTTGCTATGCTGTGAATTATTTGAGAGCGAGAAGTTTGAATTTGCATGTGAATCTTTTCATTCACTTCAAATAAAAAAAAAATACTCTGAGAATAATAAGACAAATCTGCGAGCTAGGTATGATCTAAGGACATCAGCTTGCAGTCTTTACTTCAGTTTACATGAACCTAAATTTGGCCCTGTGCCAGTTAGAATTTCTCAGAGTAGAATTTTATGAAAGATATATTTGCATTTGTTTTCTTTTCAGAAACACTTGATTCTCCTAATCAAGGGCCTGTGCACTGGCTGTAGCCGACTAGATAGAACTGAAATTATCACATTTACAGCAATGATGAAATCCGCCAAGCTGCCCCAAACAGTGAAGACACTTTCAGATGGTGGGTGTTCCTTCTGCAGACCTGATGATATGGCCACCTCCGTGCCACCTTTTCTATGGCACCTTTGCCTTCTAGTGGCACTTTCCTTAGCCCTTTTTTTGATTTTGTATTTTACAGTGGAAGATCAGAAAGAGCTGGCCTCACCAGTAAGTCCTGAGTTGAGGCAAAAGGAGGTACAGATGAATTTTTTGAACCAGCTGACCTCAGTTTTTAACCCTAGAACTGTAGCATCACAACCTATCAGTCCACAGACTCTGGTGAGTTTCTTGAGTCAAATGTCTTCTTCTCTGTAGGATTTCTTAAGATGAGAACACTAGGGGAGAAAAAGTAATGTGTTTTATGTTTGATATAAAATGATATACGTGTCTGTGGGACAAAACAAATTGAGGAATACAAAATAAAACAAGGAAAATTCACCGTAACTCCTTCTGTCCACAGCTATTACTGTTTTGATGACTATTCTAGCATTCTCTCAAAGCACATAAACAAATGTGAGGTGTATGTACAGTTTGCCATATAAAGGCATCACTCCATACTAGTTATAGAACATTAATTTAAAGCTGCATATTTTTTTCCCTCCTCTTGGGAATGTAACCTATATTTTTTCCAACATTAGTGAGGAATTTTCCCTTTGTTAACTGGGAAGCCTAGAGAGTATCCATGCAGCTGCTGCTCGCTATTGACGGTTGGTTTGGTGAAGAGATAATAGTGTCTTGATAGGCCCTATGTTTCTTTTCAGGTGGAAGGAGAAAACGACGAGCAGTCATCCACCGATCAAGCCTCAGCTATCAAAACCAAGAATGTGTTCATAGCTCAGAATGTAGCTAGTCTTCAAGAGCTTGGTAAGAGTCCCAGCTGTTGTCAGAAAGCTGATTTCTAGGCTGTCAGAAATTCCTAAGTGTGCTTCTGTCATGTGGAGAAGTATCAACCATGAGACGAAGGCCTGTTTGTAAGGTCATGGTTTTCATTCATTTAGGTGGCTCAGAGAAGCTACTGCGTGTGTGTTTGAACCTGCCATATTTTCTGCGCTATATCAATCGGTTCCAAGATGCAGTGTTAGCTAATTCCTTCTTCATAATGCCTGCAACAGTAGCAGATGCCACTGCTGTTCGTAATGGGTAAGTTGCTTCCTGGTGCACATGCTTTACCTTTTTGTTATTGTTTTGTTTTGTTTTGAGACAGGGTCTTGTTCTGTCACTCAGGCTGGAGTGCAGTGGTGTGATCTCAGCTCACTGTAACCTCTGTATCCTGGGCTTAAGCAATTCTCCCACTTCAGCCTTCTGAGGAGCTGGAACTATAGGCATACACCACCATGCCTGGTTAATTTTTGTCTTTTTTGTAGAGTTGGGGTTTTGCTGTATTACCCAGGCTCGTCTTGAACTCCTGGGCTCAAGCAGTCCTCCCGCCTTGGCCTCCTAAGTGTTGGGATTATAGGCGTGAACCTCTGTTGGGCCCATGCTGATAATTTCTTTAACTGTCACATTATAGAAGGGAATGATTCTAAGAGACATTTGTCGATCTCTGTTATGTTCCAGCTTTCATTCACTGGTGATTGATGTAACTATGGCATTGGATACCCTTTCTCTACCTGTGTTGGAACCTCTCAATCCTTCTCGTCTACAAGATGTGACAGTCCTTAGCCTAAGTTGTCTGTATGCAGGTGAGAAGTTATTATGTCTGGTGTCATTTTCTCAGTCAAGCACAGATATACTTTCAGGAAACCATGAAAATCCTTCTGAATACTCTACTCATCCCCCTTTACTTCCTCTCTTTCCCCAAGGATCATCTAACATCGCATCAAGGTGAAATGAGGTCTCAATAGGAATCTTTGTAAATGGTCCTGTTGTTTCACTGCTGCCATTGTGTTATAGGCATATTTGGTTTTATAGTATGTGCAGACATTAAGTATTTACTATATAAAAAGGAAAGTGCCAAAGACTGATGGGATATTGAAATGAACCATGTGTAGTCTCTGCCCTCAAGGAGCCTATATTAGAGCAGCAAAGAACACATAGGGCTAAATAGTATAATGTAAAACAGAATGATAAAGGCAGTAAGAGAAATATGGAATATTTTGGGTACACAAAGAAGAGGGGAATTGAGTCTTGCTGTAACGTCAGGTTTGAAGAAGGCTTCATGGAACAGGTGGTATCTGTTTATGTTGATAAATGCGAAGAATGGTATTCTTTAAGCTTCCATAAAATCCCCTTTCTTCCTGTTGATCTTACTGCCTTTGAAGCAAGGCCTGACACCTGGTGTTTACTCTCTTTTAAGTTATTGTTAAAAGGACTTTTTAGTCCAAGTCACTGATCCTTGGCTTTAAGTTCCAAGACATATCATATCTCTAGTATGTCTTAGAAGTTACAGCAATTTCAGAAGTTTACTTGGTTTTGCAAGTGAGGATTTGAGTAGATTGTCTTGGAAACCTGACCTTGGGAACACCATGAAATTGCTGAGGTTGATCTCCCTACATTCTCTGAACAGTTTTAATTTGAACATCTATGTGTGAATAGGAATATAAAGACAAAGGCATCTCTGCCCTCAAGGACTTTACTGTCTTTTAGAGGGTATTAGTAAATTACTTTTGTAAGTAAAGAAACTGAGTGAGAGATGAGACAGTGCTTTGGAAGTTTAGAGGAGGGAGAACTCACTTTCAGTTGAGAAAGGCAGTAATCATGGAGGAGTTCTGATGTTGATTCTTAAGTCAGGTAGGATCTTGGCTTGGCTGTTTCTAGGCAGAGGCAAAAGCAGACAAAAAGTATCCGAGAGTCTGGAGTAATATACTCTATAAATCTGTGTGTGTGTGTGTGTGTGTGTGTGTGTGTGTGTGTAAGTAAGTGAGTCTGTAGGTTTTATGGCTGTTTGTGGGTGTTGTATAATTGGACAGAAAGTAAGACTCAATTAGAGATGCAGATGAAGTCATTTGGACCATATCCTGTAGATAGTAGAGACCATTAAAGATTCTGAGCTGTGAGAGGATCTGAGGTATATTTTAGGAAGAACATTCAGGCAGTAGTGTACAAGGTGTTTTGGTGTGGGGAAATGTTGGAGGCAGGGAAATTGCTTAGGAGGAATTTGCAGTCATTCAGGCAGCACCCATATAGGGCCTCAGCTAGGGCAGCAGCATTAAGAGCAGAAACTTAAGGATGCATGTGAGAATATGTTCTCTCCTGACTAATTTCCAGTATTGAGCTTCCTTGTGTTCTGCTGTTGATTTTGCATTTTTAAATTTGGGGTTTATTTAATTTGATTTCCATGGAACTTCATAACCCTCACATGGATCTCAGCGTGCTCAGTAAGTGATTAAAGTCAATAAGGACTAGAGATTCTTTAAAGATTCATAGTTGGATTAAAGATCCCAAAGCTGGTTTGTTAAAATTTGATGACTTGGGATTTGATTTAAGGAAAGAGATTTGGCTATGATGTCTTTGAGAAGTTCCAGGTATGGGATTTTTTTTCTATAATCTTAAAATTTATTTTAATTTTTTGAAATTACTAGATTTTATTATTTATTATTTAAGAAATATGGTCTTGCTATGTTGCCCAGGCTGGATTTGATTGAACTCCTAGGCTCAAGTGATCCTCTCACTTCAGCCTCTTGAGTCCACTGTGCCTGGCTGTAGATTTTAGTTTTAATTAATTAGTTAATTAATTTTTTTTTGAGACGAAGTTTCACTCTTTTGCCCAGGCTGGAGTGCAGTGGCACGATCTCTTGGGATTTGATCATTGCAACCCCTGCCCCTACCGGGTTCAAACAATTCTCCTGCTTCAGCCTCTCAAGTAGCTGGGATTATAGGCGCCTGCCACCACACCTGGCTATATTTTGTATTTTTAGTAGAGACAGGGTTTTGCCATGTTGGCGAGACTGGTGTCGAACTCCTGACCTCAGGTGATCCAGCCACCTTGGCCTCCCAAAATGCTAGGATTACAGGCATGAGCTACCATACCTGGCCCATTTATTTTTATTACTTTTTTTTTTTTTTTGAGACAGAATCTTAGTGTTTCAGCCAAGTGGGAGTGTAGTGGACCAATCATAATTCACTGTAGCCTCAAACCCCTGGGTGCAAACGATCCTTCCACATCAACTACCCGAGCAACTGGAACTAGAGGCATGTGTCACAACATCTGGCTTAGATTTTAATTTTAAAGCAGTTTTAGATTTAGAGTTCCCATATACTCCCTCTCCCCTATAGCTAGTTTCTCTTATCAGTAATACTTTTAATTAATGTGGTATATTTATTATTGATGAACCAGTATTGAGATATTATTAACTAAAGTCCATAGTTTACATTGGGGTTCCCTTTTTGTGTTGAACAGGTCTGTGGGTTTTGACAGATGTATAGTGTCATGTATCCATGATTGCTATATTGTACAAAATATATCCATGATTGCTATATTTCACTGCCCTAAAAATCCCCTTTGCTCCACCTGTTCATTCCTTACCCCATCCCTTGACCCCTGCTAACACCACTGATCTGTTTACTATCTCTCTAGTTTTACCTTTTCTAGAATATCATATAGTTGGGATCATACAATAAGCAAGATTTTCAGATTGGCTTCTTTCTCTTAGCAATATGCATATAGGTTCCTCCGTGTCGTCTTATGGCTTAATAGTCCATTTCTTTTTATTGCTGAATTAATATTCCATTATATGGATATACCATAATTTATCTGTTCACCTGTTGAAGGGCATTTGTGTGTTTTGTGTGTGTGTGTGTGTGTGCGTGTGTGTGTGTGTGTAGTTTTTTGCTTATTTGGATAAATACCTAGGAGTCTGGTTGCTGAATTGCATGGCAAACCTATTTATTCTTACTCTTAATGGCATTTATTTTAAGTAATCAAGTCATGGAATTGCTTGTGGGTGGAGTGTGCTTTTTTGTTTCAGCTTTGGTGGATTCTTGGGTGTACTCCATGGCTGAGATCTGTGCATCATCTTTTTCAGGTGTGAGTGTGGCGACCTGCATGGCCATCCTGCATGTGGGTAGTGCCCAACAAGTGCGGACAGGGTCCACGAGCTCCAAAGAAGACGACTATGAAAGTGACGCAGCTACAATTGTCCAAAAATGTGTAAGCCAAAGATCTGGGGATAAGGGAACCTTGATTGTTCAAATGAGGGTGTATGGCCAGTTCCATGGTAGAGGAAAGAATTTAGAGTATCTTCCACATTACTTTCCCTGGTAGTAGGTCTAAGATGTAAGCATCTAGCTTGTTGATTTGGTGTACTGGTTTTGCACAGGTGCTTTCCTGTCACTGTTGCCTCTGTAGAACACACTTGAAAGATTCGCCATTAATTCAGCATATATGTTTGAGGACTTACTGTGTGTCAGTATACTTTTTGGGGAATGCAGTAAACAGGAAAATTTTGGATTGTGATTAAGTGTGCTGAAACAATACATTATGACTGAAAGTGATCTGGGCCGGGTGTGTGGCTCACGCCTGTAATGCCAGCACTTTGGGAGGCTGAGGCGGGTGGATCACCTGAAGTCAGGAGTTCAAAACCAGCCTGGCCAGCATGGTGAAGCCCTGTCTCTACTAAAAATACAAAAATTGGCCGGGCGTGGTGGTGCATACCTGTAATTCCAGCTACTTGGGAGGCTGAGGCAGGAGAATCGCTTGAGCCTGGGAGGTAGAGGTTGCAGTGAGCCAAGATCACACCATTGCACTCCAGCCTGGACAACAAGAGTAAAACTCGGTCTTAAAAAAAAAAAGAAAAAAACAGTGATCTGATGAGCTGGGCATGCTGCTTTTGATTGGGAGGAGGGATGACTTCTGAGAAGGTGACATTTGATCCAAATGAAAAGAGGAAGTCAGCTCCATGTGAAGGTCAAGGGAAGTGTGATGGAATGGTATCATTTTAAAGAGGATACTGAACTCTTCAAGTCAAATTGATTTGGGTATGAGGCAGTATTTCTAATGAAATGTGTCAGCTTGTTCAGATTTTGTGTCTGTTTGATATTGTACAGCTTGAAATCTATGACATGATTGGACAAGCAATCAGCAGTTCTCGCCGGGCTGGTGGGGAGGTAAGAAGCATATCTCTGTAGCATACTTCCTATCTTGTCCTCTCTGAGATGTGAATCTCTCTGTGATTATATTTTTTGTTTTGTGCTTTTTACAACAGCACTATCAGAATTTCCAGTTGCTAGGTGCTTGGTGCTTATTAAACAGCCTTTTCCTCATACTGAACCTCAGTCCTACTGCATTGGCTGATAAGGGGAAAGAGAAAGACCCGCTGGCTGCCCTCCGAGTCAGAGACATCCTTTCTCGTACTAAAGAGGGAGTGGGCTCCCCTAAACTGGGGCCTGGAAAAGGGTATGTGTCTACTTGATTATAACTTTTATTTTATTTCCTTAATATATTATATTGACAAGGACCTCTTCATATCAATAGGAAAATTTGCCTTCCTACCTGGTTTGAATTTAAGAACTAAGACAATGATCATGATCTACTATCTCCACAGCATAGCTTTGTGATTTTTAGGAAAGTCACTCATTGTCTTTGATCCTATTTCCTCATCTATCAGAGGGAAAAAATATCTGTGTAATGTGTATTTCAGGAATTTTATGAAGTTCAAATCAGAAAAAACATGTTTCTGTCTTGTAAAGCTGGCTTGTTTGACTTGGAGTTGGGTACTTGCATGTGTAACCCATTAAGAAGGGAATATTATCAGAGCCTCCTGGTTTACTTCCTCCTATTGTTTTGATAAAATCTGGGAAATAATTACTGCTTGCTAGGAAAGAAGAGATATGACCAATGTGCTATTCAGGTTTCGTTTTCTAAGCCCAGGTATTTCTGGATTTTGTTTTTTATTCAATCTGTATCATATACTGGGCCCTTTTCTAGGCATTGAGGTTATAGCACTAAACAAAGTAATGTCGTTGTCTTTATGGAGTTTATGTCTGGAGAAACAGTGAACAAATCTAATAAGTAGATTATAGATAATCATATATAAACGTTGTGAAGAAAAGGATGTCAGAGTGAGGGGCCGGAGAGTTATAGGGGGTTTATATTGTATTATATATTTATTTTAAAAACATTTTTATTTTATTTTATTTTGACACAGAGTCTTGTTCTGTCGCCCAGGCTGGAGTGCAGTGGTGTGATCTCGGCTCACTGCAACCTCTGCCTCCTGGGTTCAAGCAGTTTTCCTGCCTCAGCCTCCCAAGTAGCTGGGACTACAAGTACGTGCCACCACACCTGGCTAATTTTTGTATTTTTAGTAGAAATGAGGTTTCACTATGTTGGTCAGGCTGGTCTTGAACTCCTGACCTCATGAGCCACTGTGCCTGACCTAAATTCTATTTAATTTTAATTTAATTTATTTTAATTTAATTTTATTTTTTTGAGACCGAGTCTCACTCTGTTGCCCAGGCTGGAGTGCAGTGGCTTGATCATGGTGCACTGTATCCTCCACTTCTCAGGTTCAAGCAATTCTCATGCCTCAGCTTCCCAAGTTGCGGGGATTACAGGTGCACGCCACCACACCCATCTAATTTTTTTTTGTATTTTTAGTAGAGACGGGGTTTCACCGTGTTGACCAGGATGGTCTCGATCTCTTGACCTCGTGATTCACCCGCCTCGGCCTCCCAAAGTGCTGGGATTACAGGCTTGAGCCACCGCGCCCGGCCACCCATCTAATTTTTGTGTTTTTAGTAGAGACAGGGTTTTACCGTGTTGGTCAGGCTGGGTCTCGAACTCCTGGCCTCAAGTGATCTGTTCACCTCAGCCTCCTAGAGTGCTGGGATTATAGGTGTGAGCCACTGTACCCAGCCCAGGGCTATTATTTTAGTTAGGATGATCCAGAAAGGGCTCCAAAGACATGATGTGGAGACCATATGTTAGGTGACAGAGATTCCCATGTAAGAATTTGGCGTAGAATTGTTCAGGTTTGAGGTGGAAGTATGATTGACATTTCTGAGGATCAGCAAGGTCAGTGTGACTAAAATAGAGAAACCAAGAGGGAGAGTGGTAGAAAATTAGGTCAGACAGGTAGCCAGTGGCCAGATCATTTAGGGCCAAGTGTAGTCAGTAACTGTTAGAGGGATTAAACATGGGAGAGATGTGACCTGATTTATTGGTGATCTGAGAATAGACTGCAGGGCATAAGACAAGAAGGAGGGAGAACAGTTAGCAGCTAATGTGTTATTCCAGATGAGAGATGAAGGAGCCTTGGAATAAGGTGATGTGGCAAAGACAGAGAAAAGAGGTCAATTTGGAATATGTTTGAAAGTTACGGTTGAAAGGATTTGCTGGTGGCTTGCATGTTGGGTGTGAAAAAAGATGACCATGATTTTTTGGCTTGAGCCACTGGGCTATATAATTTACTGATACATGGAACTCTTGTTTAGGAGTGGGTTGAGTGGGAGGAAAGGGAAGAAATAAAAATGTTATCTTGGCCATGCTGAGTGTAAGAGGACTGTCAGACTTCTATGTGAGATGTTGAGTAGAAAGGTGGATATGTGAGTCTGGCGTTTAAGGAAGAGGTCACATCCTGGACCACATTAACAAATTACCCTCTGAGCATCTTCTCTGTCCCAGGCTCTGTGTTAGTTCTGGAGTGCTGTGATGAACATAAAAATGAATATTCTCAAGAGACATGAAGTAGATATCCATACAAATATATCTTTTTTTTTTTTTTTAAGCAGAGTCTTGCTCTGTCACTCAAGTTGGAGTGTAGTGGTGTGATCTCAACTCACTGCAACCTCTGCCTCCCAGGTTCAAGTAATTCTTGTGCCTCAACCACCAACTAGCTAGGATTACAGGTGTGCGCCACCATGCCCAGCTAACTTTTTTGTATTTTTTATTAGAGATGCGGTTTTGCCATGTTGGCAAGGCTGGTATTGAACTCCTAGCCTCAAGTGATCTGCCTGCCTCAGCCTCCCAAAGTGCTGGGATTACAGGCATGAGCCAACTTGCCCAGCCATGTCCAATTATATCTAAGGGATTATTGGAATGGGACATTTGACCCAGCCAGGAACATCAGGGCAGGCTTCCCCAAAGAAATGCTAATTAAGCTGAAAGCTGAAACAGGTATTGACATGGTAGGCAGTAGATACTAGGCAAAGTAAGGAGGTAAGATTGTTCCAGAATAAATGATAGTTTTTGATTTTATGAGTGGCCATTTTCATTCTTGGCATTGCAAAGGGAAATGAAAGAATGCCAAGAAGCGTATCCTTAGAAGTAACAGTTACGCTTTTGAAAGGGCTGTTGTTTCTTCATATTTTAAAAGAATGCATGTACGTTGTGTAAGTGACAAGCCATACAGATGGGCATGAATAGGAAAGGTAAAAATGATCCCAAATTCTGCCACTCAAATTGGTAAGCATTCTTTCAGACATTTTTCTGTGCACATATAAAAAGTATGTAAGTTTACAGAAATGGGATCGGTATATATGAAATACTGCAACATGTTTTCAGTGACACTATTAAAATGTCAATTTTTAATGGCCAGTAGTATTCCATTATGTAAATATACCATAGTTGACTAATTCCCCTATTGCTAAGCACTTATTTAGATTGTTCCAAATGTCTTGTTGTAAAAAATTTTGCTTTGATAACTTCCTGAAATATAAACTTTTGGGAACTTAATTGTCGTCTTGGGATGAATTCCCAAAAGTACGGTTGTTAGGACAAAGGGCTCACATTTAAAAATTGGAAATGTTTTGTCAAACTACTCTTTAGAAAAGTAACGCTAATTTGCATTGACACCAACTGTGTGTTTATATGCCCACTTCTCCTTGCCCTCTTTAACACTGGGTATCATTAGTCTTCATGTTTGCTAATTATCTTAGGGGAGAAAATGCTCTGGTATTTCATGCATTTGTATTTCTTTGATTACTAGTGTGATTGTGTTTCATTTCACATATTTATTGGTCTTTTTTTTTTTTTT